GCGAGCCAGGTGCCCAGGGGGAGCGCGGAGCTCGGGAATTCACCGGCATAACGTTTGCAGCCTCATGACTTTGTAGAATCGGGAACACGGCCTTTCTTATCTACTGGCTGGCTGCTTTTCGGGGTTTCTCCGCTCCTGTCCTCGGCCAGTCTCACCAGCGGCTTGTCAATGTTAATGTCTTTCAAAGCACTCACACTTAGCTTTGTTGCCATCTTGTTGGCATGTTTTCTGCTTCATTGATCTGTTTCCCTCTGCTGTTGGGTTTATTTTACTCCCCCCCCCCCCCCCCCCCCCCCACACACACACTAACTTTTATCCTCTCTTTTCTAATAAATGCATGGCAGGCTGTAGTTTTCCGCTAAGTATTGAGATTTATCTATCCTCTCAAGTTTTGGTATATGTTTTCATTATCATTTATTTCAAAATGTCTTCTAATTTGTCCTGTGTTCCCCCCCCCTTTGATTTATTGGGTTGATTAGTAACGTATGTATTAATTTCTGAGCGTTTTCTTATTACCTCACTAGAGTCCCGGTGCAGGTGGGCCAACCAGGGAGGGACCCCGAGGGCTCCAGAGCCTGTGGGGCCCGCCTGCTTAGTCTCTCTCCGAGGGCCCCAGCAGCAAGCTAACCTACAGGTTGGAGCATCTGCCCCTTGGTGGTCACTGCACAGCATAGCAAGTGGTTAGCATAATAAGCTTTGATTGGTTGAACAGCTGACCAGTTTACTGGACACTCAGCATATTAGGCTTTTATTATATAGGACTAGAGGCCTGGTGCACAAAAATTTGTGCACTGGTTGGGAGGGGGTGTCCCTCAGCCCCACTTGTACCCTCTCACAGTCTGGGACCCCTTGGGAGATAACGACCTGCTGGCTTAGGCCTGCTCCCGGGTGGCAGAGGGCAGGCCCAATCCCTAGGTGCAGCCCCTGGTCGGGCTCAGAGCAGGGCTGATTGGGGAGTTGGGGCGCCGCCCCCTGTCATGCACAGAGCAGGGCGGATTGGGAGGTTGCGATGCCACCCTCAGTCACGCTCAAGGTAGGGACGATTGGGGGGTTGAAGCACCGCCCCCTGTCACACTCAAGGCAGGGTCGATGGGGAGGTTGCGGC